GTTCACTTCTATTTTTTGCTAAGTGTAGACTTGTGTCTACTGGAGTTTTGACTGGACTTTCATCAAAGACTCCAAATCTCTTTAGTACAGACTCAACATAATGAGATTGTGAAAGAACGAGGCCATCTGGTGTTTTAGAAATTTTAATTCCAAGAATTACATTTGCTACACCCATGTCCTTCATGTCAAAATGTTTTGTTAGCATTTTCTTAGTGGAGACAATGATATCATGATTGCTACCCAGAATTAGCATATCATCCACATATAGACATACTAAGACATATGCTGTCGGTGTACTCTTATTATACACACATTTATCACACTCGTTAATTTTAAAACCATTTGACAGCATTGTTTTGTCAAACTTTTGGTACCACTACTTTGGCATGTTTTAGTCCATATAAAGATTTAACGAGTCTGCAAACCTTTTTCTCTTGTCCATGAGCGATAAATCCTTCAGGTTGCTCCATGTATATTTCTTCTTCTAACTCACCATTTAGAAAAGCTGTTTTAACATCCATTTGATGAATTTCGAGATTATGTAGCGCAGCAATTGCAATAAGGATTCTTATCGAAGTAATCCTCGTTACTGGTGAGTAAGTATCAAAGAAATCAAGACCTTCCTTTTGTCTATATCCTTTTGCTACCAAACGAGCTTTGTATTTATCAATAGATCCATCCGATTTTAACTTTTTCTTGAAAATCCACTTGCAACCTAGAGGTTTATTTCCAGGTGCGAGATCAACCAACTCCCAAGTATGATTTTGCATTATCGATTCAATTTCACTATTGATAGCTTCTTTCCAAAAGGGAGCCTCTGGTGTTGACATTGCTTCACTGAATGTCTTTGGTTCATTTTCGATCATGTACGTTATAAATTCTGAACCGAAGGACGTAGACTTCCTATCCCTTTTACTGCGTCTGAGTTCTTCTTCATTTTCATCATCATTTGCAGTATCGTAAGTTCTTTTCATTGAACTTACATCATTTTTGTCTTTACGAGGAAAGACATCTTCAAAGAAACTTGCATTCCTTGATTCAATTATTGTATCTTCATGTATATCCGTAATCTCGGATTTATGCACAAGAAAGCGATATGCACTACTGTTATGAGCATATCCAATAAATACGCAATCTACAGTTTTTGGTCCTATTTTTATTTGTTTAGGTTTTGGCAAACCTTTGTCAAACACCCCCACACTTTCAAGTATTTATATGAAGGTTTATGACCTTTCCATAACTCGTAAGGTGTTTCATCCTTTACTTTGTGTGGTATTTTATTAAGAATGTGATTTGCCGAGAGGATAGCCTCCCCCCACAAATTCTGTGGTAGGCCAGAACTAATCAACATAGCATTCATCATTTCCTTAAGTGTGCGGTTCTTTCGTTCCGCAATACCATTAGATTGAGGTAAGTAAGGAGCCGTTGTTTGATGAATGATGCCTTGTTGAGAACAAAATTCTTCAAACGGCGCTCCATATTCTCCACCTCTATCACTTCGAACAATTTTTATTGTTTTACTAAGTTGATTTTCAACTTCATTCTTAAAATGTTTAAACATTTCCAAAGCCTCGTCTTTGCTTTTTAATAGATAAACATAACAGTACCGAGTGCAATCGTCAATGAAAGTGATGAAGTACTTTTTCCCACCTTTAGTTTGTACGAATTTCAAATCACATATATCGCTGTGAATTAATTCTAAAGGTAAGGTATTTCTATCAACTGAAGGAAATGGTCTTTTGGCTAATTTAGCCTCAACACAAGTTTCACATTTGTGATTAGGATCGAAACTCAGAGAAGGTAGCAAATTTAACTTCATTAATTTGCGAACAGATTTAAAGTTTGAGTGTTCTAATCTCTTATGCCATAAACAAGAAGAATCAACAATATACGCAGAAGTAGAAGCTTCATTCATCTTGTTCAATTTAGGTACAATAGTAAGGACGTTCATCTTGAACATCCCATCGGACATGTAACCTTTCCCAACGTACATCCCATTTTTAGTTAGTACAAATTTGTCAGATACAAATACTAACTTAAACCCATTCTTGCTAAGGAGAGAACCAGAAACAAGATTTTTCCGAATGTCTAGCACATGCAACACATTGTTGAGGACGAGTTCCTTGCCGGATGTCATTTTCAAGGTCACCTTTCCTTGTCCTTCAACCTTTGAACTTGAGGAATTTCCCATGAACAGTTGTTCTCCACTGATAGTTTTGTAATCAGAAAACACATTCTTTTCAACACAAATGTGGCGAGTGGCACCAGTGTCTACCCACCATTCCCTGGGATTTCCAACACTATTACATTCATATATTACAGCAGATAGGTGCATTTCTTGAACACCTTCAGACAGATTTTCAGTTTCAACAACATGTGCACGGTCTTTTTGCTTTTTAGGCTTGCGACAGTCAATTGCACGATGTCCAGGTTTACCACAGTTGAAGCAGTCCCCTTTGAACTTCTTGTTCTTCAGGTTTTCTTTTTTCTTCGGAGCAAAGTTTGAGTGCTTCCTTTTCATGTTCTTCTTTGAACTTGATTCAACAATGTTTGCCTTAGCTTCCATGCTTGGTCCCCCGTTCCTCCTTTCAGATTTCTTAGTATCTTCTTCGATCCTCAAACGCACAATCAACTCCTCCATGTTCATTTCCTTACGTTTATGTTTGAGGTAATTTTTGAAATCTCTCCATGAAGGCGGGAGTTTTTCAATTACTGCTGCTACTTGGAATGACTCACTTACAGTCATTTTTTCAGCATGTAAATCATGAAGGAGTACCTGCAATTCTTGAACTTGGGAAATAACAGATTTAGAGTCAATCATTTTATATTCCAAAAATTTTCCAACAAGAAATTTTTTAGAGCCAGCATCTTCAGTTTTATATTTTTTCTCTAAAGATTCCCATAGTTCTTTTGCAGTTTTCATTATGCTATATACACCAT